TTCGGGTGGCATATCTAACTGTATGGGAGTGGTCCCGATAGTCGCTGCCAGTGCACCGAGTCGCTGTAAAGCAGATGGTGGTGGTGGTGATTCATGCACAACTTCCTTTGCTTTTTCAGCCTATTCCTATACAAGTACCAAAAATCAATAACATTAATATACATCAACCTATCAAAAAATAATAAGTACTATCGTTCAATGCATAAATCAACCTGTGCATGTGTTGGGATGGGTCTTGTTAATGAAACCGGCCATAAGATAAAATGGCCAGGTGCCTGTCCCACTGTTTGAACCTCTTCAGTGGGAATAGGGATTGGGGCAGCAACATCCCGGACATCTACAACCACCACTTTGATCATATCATCTCCAATACTCTGGTGGTGGATGGTTGACCCCAATGCATACATTTTCCCTAAGGTAAACAAAGGATAAAATATTTTAGACTATATAATGCGTAACACTGTACCAAATACATGTCAAAGATATAATACGTACCGTATGCCACCAAATGCTCGGGAGGACCCGCAACATACAACCGACGATCAGCGGTGTCGGTAGGAGCAACCTCTCGCCCCTCTATCGGGAGCATCACAACTCTCCTTTGTGCCGACATGAATCGGGGATGCCGCTCGTGCGGGGACGGAAGGTTGAGATGACAAAGATGCCAACTCTGCTCGTATTGAGCTCAATAACTCCGCCTTCAAGTCGAGTACACCTCATCTCGAATCTCCTTCCTAATTTGTTGTTTGAGGGACTCAAACTCTTGCTCATTCAGTTGCCTCAAAGAAGGAGTTGCCACGGGTGGGGCACCAAAGTACTCGTCTCGATGCCCACCCTCGTCCGAGCACCACGAACACGTCCAGGATGCTCTGGGGTACCAATGGCCACTGCCAATATATCCCGACGGCCATGTGGGTGGAATGATCCCCGAGTGCTCTGCTCAACCAACTCATCCTACAACACAAACGAATGATTTTTTAGCAAATACAAATGCCTATTGTAGTATAACATATATAATTAGTTTAGGATATGCTACTTACAATACGTTAAGCAACAACATTAGTTTGCTCGGATAAGTAATTCCCCGATGAGTTCTCGCGAGCTCTCTTCCATTTATCATGGCGTGAAGGGCGGGTGACGGAACTCACAACGGAGTCATCCGAAGGTAGACTTGAAGAAGTCTCCTTCATCATCTTCTCCTCCAATTTCTCATAACCCCCACGAGACAACTCGTGGGGGTGGATATTCTTCCTCCGAATATCCCGTGCCTTCGCCTCTTGGCCTGTTGCATTCCATGTTAAATACCAAATTTAAAACCTCTATTTAAAAAAAATTACTGCAAACAAATGACAAATGTGCTAACCTGAAACCTAGGGTCTAATCGCCGAGTCCGAAATGTCCGCCATGTCTCCTCATCCAAAAGCCGATACTAGTCACATGGGTTCTTGTTGCTCAATGCCCCATATATGTATCGACTGGTCAGATCACTCTTAAAACCTCTCCAGCGTTCCCCGAGCATATGAGATCCACTTTGTCCTCAACAAAGTGGTGTTAGGGACATCATATGTGACCTACACAATAAAAATAACATGAAGTTCCCAAAAAAGTTAAATATATATACATGTTAAATGCTCAAGTAAGAGTAGGTACCAGGATACTCGCCAAATCCGGTTCTTCGGTGTCTCCGGAACATGGTCCCAATCCTCAATAAGAATACTAACCTTGATTCTCCCAAGCAAGGCCACATAGCTAGTGAATCTAGCATCGTGCTCTCCAGTGGCTCTACCAGGCTTGCATGTCAAACTCGGATAGGCAATTTCGATCGGAGCTGCGATCGATATTCAACTCCCTCAACCGTGTAGCACGCCTACCCTTTTTCCTGGTAGACGGTCGACTACGATCACCACCTTGTGTAGGAGGGGGACCGTGTAGGAGGAGGGGTACTAGATGAATCTGCCATATCTGTGTTCAATGAAAAAAATAATAGTTATTAGTTTAGATAATATGACTGAAGATAAACAAAAAAGTGCATACATTAAAAAAATTTCATACATTATCAAGTTGGAGCATTCTCCCAAAATCCTTCCATATGGTCATAACGGATGACATGCACATCATCTATTTCTACATTAACACTCAAGTTTGGCATATTTAATGTTCAAATGACTAATGTTCAAATGACTACAGAAACACATTCAAATGACTAAACTACTTACAATACATCTCTAAATTAGCTAAAGGCACCCGTGATGTTTCCCTCTCTTGACAACATTATTACTTACTAGATTCAATACTGTAAACCTACATTGGCTAAAGCAAGCACAAAATCTTACCTCTTGAAGACCTACAGAGGTGGCAGGTGGCGTGACGTGCAGAGCTGGGTGGGGAGAAACGTATCCCAGGCGACGGGCACCAGTAGCAGCAGGCGGCACGAAGCGTTGGCAGGTGGCGTGACGAGCAAATGTGGGTGCGGAGAAACGTATACAAGCGAACGGGGGAGCTCTGGTATGGGTGAACTGATGAAAGGAAATGGAGCGTAGGGAGAAACGTACAGGGGAGCTCTGCTATGGGGGGGAAGTGATGAAATGAAATGGAGTGCGGGAGGAGCAGAAGATACTATGTCGGTTGCCCTAACACCCGTCATCAAAGACACTTTCTACGTCGGTTAAAATTTACCCGACATAGAAAGTTCACTTTCTACGTCGGGTAAATCTTACCCGACATAGAAAGTTAACTTTCTATGTCGGTTAAATGTTACCCGACATAGAAAGTTAACTTTCTATGTCAGGTAAATTTTAATCGACGTAGAAAGTGAACTTTCTATGTCGGTTAAATTTTACCCGACATAGAAAGTGACCTTTCCACTTATTATGTCGGTTAAAACTTACCCGACATAGAAAGTTTATGATTTTATTACAAAATTGCCACCGCGCCACATACTATGACTGGTGGATTACGATCGTGATAAAAACCCGTCATAGAAAGCTATTTTTCCACTAGTGTTTCCTAAATTGACTGGTACTAAATAAAATTTTAATAGCATAATTAAAGTCCTATAAAAAATATTAAATCATATTAAAAATAATTTTTAAAAATAGTATTTAATAATAAAATTTATAATTATTACTTTGTAAAAAAAATCATAATTAACAAATTAAAATGCAATCATTTTTATAATTTTTTCTTACATGTTTTTCAGTATTTTTAGACAATAATTTCTCATAAAAAACAATATAAATGAAATCAATATTGAATTTTAACGGTTACATGTTTTTTTAATTAATAAAATAAAATTATATTGATATTACTTGATAAGATTAATAATTTTAAGATATGGGTCATTGATTCTTAGAAGTCCTCCTCCCTCTCTCACTAAACAGAAGGTGTCTTTAATGACACTCCATCATTATAGTCCCATATAAGTGATATAATAGACGTGTAAACTTCACATTTATGATACTTTTATTCATTCACTCATTTTTTATTAGAAAGCGAAAATGTAGAAAATAAATTTTAAAATATCCTTAATCTTTCAAGAATGAAAAAGAATAAAAAAAATCATAAGATAATATTAAGAATCAAAATAAAAATTGAAGTGTCATATTAAATAAAAATAAAAAAGTTAAATAATAAAAAATTAAAGAATTTATAAGTGAGAAAAAAAATATGATTTAATGTTTAAAATTTTTTAATTAAATTTGATATATATTATCATATACTATTTCCTCTAGACTATCCGCAAAAATCTCCTTATATTCATAAATACCTATACTACTCCTTGTATTAGTCATAAAAACTATCTAAATATGGGTTAGTTTGTTTAAATAGTTTTGTTACATTAAAAATTGTCTATAGCATCGAGTGGGCCAACAACTTCATATGATTGGATTCAATTCATTTAAGGTTGCAATTTGGAAAGGAAGGAAGCAAGTAACTGGTTAATGCGAGAGCATGTTACGTTCTGTTATCGCATCCCTTCACCCTCTCCTCAACTACCCTCTCTACCGTTCCAAATTTTATAACAGTTTAGTTTAGGTTTGCCACTAAGTAATGGTATTGGTAGCTCTAACTAATAACTAAAATGTAACGGTTATTTTTATGTATGTCAGATTATAGTTGTTCGGTTTGGTTGTCACCAACTACTCAAGAGAAAGTCTCTTTGATATATGGATTTTGTGAGTTTGACTTAGTTGTGTCCACAGATTCTATTCTTAGCGAGTAACTAGAAAGAACTAGATCTATTTTTTTCATGCAAAGAATTGATCTAACTCCAATGGAATCGGATTCTAATTGCTTTTAATACCTAACACAACGTACACTTTTTCTCCACATGAGAATGAACAAGCTCCTATTTCTTTTAAGAACGCTTTATTCTATTGCCTCTTTCCTTTTAAGAGTTACAGTTACGAAACGGGATAAGACACTATATCTGCTTAAAAAGACTTTAAAGTTAAGGAGATTATATTCTGATTTACTTTGTTAACTTTGTTAAGAATCCATTGCCAAGTTCTTTTTCCTTTACCACTTTTTTTTTGTTGTTGTTCTATATTCTTTTGTCTCTACAATGGAGTATGGTTCAACAAAAGTTTTAGTTGTTCTCTAATTTGAGTTTTAGGTATATGTTGAGAACAGCTTGCGCAATGATTGAGGGTAGGATTTTAGGAAACATGAAGAATCATGTTAGTTGCTTCTTTTAGTCAACCGTACTACTTCATAGCTCATAATTTTGATGCTGTAGTCAAGAATTGTCAAAAGTAATAAAACTTTTACTCCACCCATCATTATTCATGTATGGGAAAGGTGCATGGATTTATACATCATCATACATGCCTCAGAATTGCACCCACCCTTTGTTTAAGTCGGATAAATTTAATTTTGATGAACTTATTTTAGTTTTCTAAATTAAAAAATAATAATAATTTGGGAGATATGAAAAGGGTCAATGAACAGAGAAGTATAAAAAGGGGCATAAAGAACATAAAAAAGCATTAGAAGCCAACGAAGATGTTCCACGCAAGCATCTCTTCAATGCAGTGTGACTGATTTAAAGCCTGCGGAAATATTCCAGGGTATCTAATCCCTTTTGGTCTAAATCTTAATATATTTGAAAAAGGACCTATTTTCTATTTTTCATGTAATTTAAATGACTGAGAATTTGAGTTTAATATGTATAAAATAAATTTTATAAACTTCATTTTACGTTAAAATTAGCATGCTAAAATAATTTACTTTTGATTTTTAGGATATTTCTTATATGAATAATAATGGAATAGATACTTAAATAATTGTAATTAATTTTATTTTAATATAATTTTATTTAGAAAACTCATTCTTTCTCTTTATTTATTTATTTTTATTATTTTTACCAGTTACTTAAATAATTATAAAAAAATTTAAACTACTCAACATGTTATAGAAAAAAATCTAAAAAATTAATAGTTTATTTAAACATACTCTAAAATTGAGTTTTACACAATATTTTAATATAGAAAGTTATAAAAATAATCAAATGTGTCACAAAACATAGTTACTTCTGAAACTGAGTTTAAAAATTCGTTGGTCACCGTTTGAAAGTACTTTGAGTTTAAAAGTTATGAAGAGGTTTTATTTTATTTTTTATATAAAAAATGTGCATTCAAAGTGATCCAAACAAAAATCTAAACATAGAATAGAAATAATTAAGGTGGAGTAGTTTATTTATAGAAAGTGTATTTGGTTTTGCAATATAGAATTCCATTCCAACCCTCCTTTGTTGGTGCATTTGTTTTCAAAGCGTGTTTTTGAAACAAAACCTTTCAAAATAACATACATCATCTTACTCTGAACTCGATTTAATTGAAATATTTCTACAAAATTCACATAATCTATAGTAGAAAATTTGTAGTATTATTTAGGAAAACTCATACGAAAGGTTGGTAGCTAAAAAGATTAAAACTAGAACTGTTGAATTCATTGTTGGAGAGATGCATTTGGTAGAGCTAGGTTAAATATTTCACAATATTAATTTTCTGGTTTGGACCTTCAACCACATGACCCTTTGAGGAGGGTATATGCAGACATTAAGATGATGGAATTTGGACCATCTTTGGAGGGAGAGAAGTGTGGGACAGTGGGAGTAGGAAAAGAGAGACTGAGAGAGATGCCTTTTGCTTGTAATATACGATTGGCATTCACTGCCTTGTCTAAACCTCTTTGGAAATTTCGCCTTTTATCTCACGCAATGGGGATTCCAATACATTTTCTCAAAACCAAAACATTTTTCTCTTAAACCATTTTTTACAATGATAAAACATGATAGTACCAATTACTAATGAAAATAATCAATTATATGGTCAATCAATAATAGTACTAATCAATTGCACATAATGGATTCGTATTTCTTGTCACCACATGTTTGTTATATTGCTCATGAGTAGCATACACATAAGAACATTTTCTGGGTGTAGTTAAATTAATCCTCACATTGATCTATGTACAAAAACAACATGGATTATGTTAATGATGTTGTTCATTCAATGAACAGTCACAGTGTGCCTCTCTTCTTTCCCTCCACGTTTAGCTATTGGACATAATCTGAGGATTTAGGTGTTGCCATTACGAGGCAGTGAGACACAGTGTTCAGATCAGATTCCATATACTCTCGTACAGTAACAGATATATGTATTATGCTGCACCAGCCAATTTCTGATTCACAGTTTGGAAACAACTTTGATTTTGGCACTTCATCATGCTCTTATGATTTGGGCAACATTTGTACTACTTTGGCAAGAAAAGTCACTTTTAATTGGTTGTACTCATAAAGTGCATTGAAGTAGACGGATGTGCCCAGTGAGAATTTTACCAACAAGACAACAACAAAACCCTTAAAAAGACACTGACTTTTCAGTTTTTATTTCACAGGAAGGTAAACTAAAATCATCATGAATACGAATGATAACAACACTAAATGTTTTTTTTTTAATTTATATTTTTCTTACATACTTTTACTTTTCATCATATTTCACATTTTTTCTCTTTTTTATTGTTATTTTTTTACATATTTATTACTATACATATACAATTTCTATAATTTTTTATTTTATTTTGTAAACACAATGTGGCAGTGTCGTATCTGTAGTTGATAAAAACCCAATTTTGATTTGCTTTACGATGGGATTCAAAATTATGTTTGTTTTCCATATGAAAACAAACAAATACTGGCTAATATAATATGACTAGGAACAACGACAAGAGATCACGCATTACAAGTACCACTCCTCAGACAAGTGTGGAAACCCTCCAAGCTTCATTTGAATTTACATTCAAATGAAATACTTCTAAGTTGTCGTTTTTATCAATTCATCCAAAATTGTTCATAGTTTGTAAAATTAACCATGTCTGCAAATGAAACGTCCAAATCCAAATCATATTGCCCATTCAAATCCTAGTGGCTAGTGTTTGCACTCTAGTAGAAGCCTTCAACATATAATGTTTATGTAAAACAACTGTTTTACCATTTAAGCATGTTCACCCATCTTAAAATTGTGTTTAGAAAACTGATATTATCAAAATTCTTAGGAGAATCTCGGCTATGTATATAGAACTGTGAATCTTATGGATACTATGCTTTGAAATCCTCTATTAGAGAATCTAATTAGACAATTTGGACGGTAACATGGATCCAGGAAGCATGTCTGTCAGATTGATTTGAAAACCGATCCTCTCACTTGGTCTGAAACCACATACACCACATTATTTTTTCTTGTTATCTTGGTGTTTTGTGGCATAGAAATTCGTCCTTCTGGCTTATATGAAATTTCCACGATAAGATAAAATAGAAGTTTCATTTGTTTATTTACTGACTAGGACCAGAATTTTCTACTCTGTAGTGAAGCTTAAAATATCATATCTGTCCAAAGAAGAACCCTGCATATTTGTTTTGTTTTTACTCAGTCCACTGAGAAAATAACCCATCGAGGCTCTTATAAAATTTGTCACTTTGTCTAGTTTAAAGGAAAACAAAGTTTGAATATGTTAGAATACTTTGTCATTTCCCACATAATCAATCTCCTTTATATAATGTTAGCAAATAACTATTCAACACAGTTAGACCCTTTATTTTTTGCTTTAAATGAATTAACTACTCTTAATTTAATGAAGAAATAGAAGTTTACTTGTTATGACTATCATAATCAAGCAGAATGTACATGCACTTCTTATGTGTCCTTGTATTCTTTTGATCTCCAATCTTGAATAAGTTATAAAGATAAATAACCTTGCATGTGGACAGGTTTTTTTACCTGCAAGTTCCTCCCTTATGAAATTTCTGTCACATAGCTTCACCAATTCAGCTTTTCCTGTGCTTGTTCCTCCTTTTTCATTTCTTTTTCTCTGTCTAGGCCAAGTGTGCAGCAAAAAAGAAACTTTCTCCCAGAGTAGGTTAATATGACGACAAAAAGGAGAACTGGCCACCTTATCGCACTCCCATCCTTTTCTTTTTGTATTGGTTTTGGCAAAGGTCGAGTTCCCATTAATTAACATATTCTATTATATTTGTGGATTCTGTGACAAACGTTAAACTCTTTGATACTGAAGGACAATCTGGGGCATCTCTTAATTCCACAAAAAGACAATTAGACAAAGAGAAACCCCAGAAAACCTCTATTTCTTTCTAGCATCCAACGTCTATTATCATTCACCTTTCGTCAATTTTGAGATTAACCCTTTCTTTTCCCTCTTGCAATTAAGCCAATATTTCGTTATCTAGTCACTTGTTTCCCATTATTGGTTACAATCTGTGAAAACCTGATTGGTCTAGTAGGAGTGCAAACAAAATGCCTTTTTCATGAATGGACATGACAAGAACCATACCAAAATGAAGGAATTCAATTAATTTTGCGAGCCTCCTAACACTGTTTACAGATTAATCCAGTGCACCTAAACAAATAAATGGTTCTACCACTGTTGGCACAGTCAAAATGTATTAATTGGACCAAACATAAACATCTTATCTTTATCCTTATCTTTAGTTCCATTTTCATTGCTCTTCATTTTGGTGCATCAAATGAAGTGGCTTGCTTAATAATTAGAGATGTGATGCATAATGAGACAAAAGTTGGACGGACTATGTCACCAACTCTTACCAACGAGAGCAGAAAATATTGAAAAACCTAAATACACATGTATGGGGTCATATACACAGTCAATGAGAGAGAATGAATCTATCCCTATCCATTCATCGATTAGAAGGAAAATTTTAGTAAACTCATTTAAATATTGTTAACAAAGGGACAGAACTACTTCTCAGATGAGTCATATTTATAAGAACTTTGTTTTTTTAATTCAGATCAAAATAACCCTCTCTAAATTCAAAAGGAAAAAATAGTAAAAAAAAGTTACTAGAAGATTGATATAATTAATATTTAAATTGCAGAAAGAAAGGACGAAATTGTAATGGTTGAAGGAAGAAAGCTTCACTCTTAGGAACTTGTGCTAATTCACTATGACAATGGTAAGTGAGCTTTTGAATTATAATAAGTGTTTTATTTGAGTTAGTTATGAGTGAAGATTATTTCAATAGATTGTTAAATAATCATTTTTAATTGATTATGACAAAACCTATTTAATGTTTAGTTTTATTCTTAAAGTGACTTCTAATGTGATTCTTTTGGACTGTATCAAATTATTAAAAGGATTGCTGTTGTTTTTTCTTTTGTATACGTATGCACTGTGGGAAAGGGGTTTTAAATAATGATTAGGGTGAGTATAAAGGGAAAAAATATTTTCAGATAATTTATTTGTAATTTTTTTTTATAATTATACCTTAAAATAATCGATAGAAAAATTATTTTTACATGCCCTATTTTACATCACACCCCTTTTAGAAAGAAAGAAGTGACTGTTCTGAAAAAAAAAATGACATTATTTTAAAAAAATATAACAATATTGTAGAATTGTCACATGCACGTATCATTGTCGTAATATATTTTTGATAATCTTCTCAATTTTGAAAATATTTGCATGATATTCTTTGCACTATGAGTGAAATTTTTGCAGTCCATTTATTTTATATCATACTCGAGATATTTTAAAATAAACTTTAGTCTTTTACGTCTACTTTTTTTAGTGAAATTATTAACCACAATTTACAGTTACTTCAATATTTTATTATAATACTTGTGTGAAATATTTATAAACTTTATTAATGATGAACTTTGGTTTATTGAATTATTTTTCTTATTATTTATTAATATATTTTCGATATAATTTAACCTGACTTTTTTAAAAGGTCAATGTTTTATGTTTCATCAAATTGAGAAAGATTATTAAAAAAATAATTATATTCAAAGGGTTGGCATGTTATACATCCGTTAATTCATTTAATAGCGTTGAAAAAGTTAATATGTAGAACGGACCAAGTTGTTAAATTAATAATATGTAAAAAAAAAAAAAAACTAATCAATTTTGTTACAGTTTATTTTAAATTTTTTTTTTCATTTACAAAATCATCAAAGATTTTGTTTGGTATTCCAAATTTACACATTTGAGGCGGTATGTTATAAACTACATAAGACCAGGCGTTCATTGAAGAAAGCGACGTGGGCAACTTTATGTCCTTTATAACTTGTATATGTTTTGTGTAATGAGGCACTATTTTATTTTCTTCTTCTCTAACGTGACCTTGGATCTGTGGAGCCTTTTACTGGGAGATTTTGTTAACTTTTGGTAAACGTTTTGACATTTCACACCGGTCTACTACTCCAAAAGGCCACCCTTTACATAAAGGCTATGAGCATAGCACAAAACGCTTAGCACCTCACCAGGGGTTGTCAAAAGTGAAGGCTCACCGGTCAAAAGGCTAATAAATCTATTCTCCGCATTGGGGTTGGATTTAGTTTGGTTTGGTTTGGTTTATGTACTGCTCCCATTATAGTTGTGTTTATGTCTAAGATGTGTGTTAGCACCAAGCAATGCAAATGATCCCTTTTTTGGGTACTAAGGAAGCTTTTCTCTGCTCAAATGCAAGTACAAGTCAAATCAACTCAAGTCTTGGAATCTAGTTTGTAGACTCTCTTGGCTCATTTAGTATCTGGGCTTTTATAGTGTTTCAGCCTTTTTGGCTTATTGCATTGCTCAAGAGTTTTCTTCTGATTTCTTGGGTGTTGTTTCACGGTAGGATGCTGACGCTCTGCTGCTTTGTTTTCCCACTTTCTTTTGTTTTGGTGGTGTTGTATATTTGGTTCACTGGAAATGACTTTGGTTTTGTATGGCTTTTAGGCATGGGGTATGAAAGCTTAATTCCAAGGCACAAGCGTTCGAAGAGGTGACCCTCTATTTCTTATGCTTGTCTTCTCTTGTACTGTCTTGATTGTGGAGTTCAAGCATTAGGGGTTGCTTCCTTTCAGGGAAAATGGACAATAATGCTTTTGCATTTATATTAATGTTTTCTGCAATTATTCCTTCTTTCTTTCTTTTCGGGTCTACTTTTATGTATTCCTTATCCTATCCATCTGAGCACATCGGGGAGAAGGGGGTTCCTGGTTGAAAGTGAACCTGAAGGCTCTTAACATAACTATTAGAATTTATGAGAATTGGGGGTTTCATGAATGTAACTTGGGGTCCTTAAATGGCACCACAAAGTAAAATACAGAACCAGATATCAACTTATAATATATTAATTGTGCTTTACTGTTTTTGTCTGACAGCTTTCCTGATAAGAAAACAATGGAGGATTGTAATGCAGATCTTAAGACCTCAGATCGAACAAAGCTGGTATAATCAATCACTACATTATTTCATCAATATATTTACTTCACTTTTTGTTTTATTGCTTTTTTAATCAGGGATTTACAGTTCTATTCTCGTAAATGAATTGTTAGGCATTTATGATGCAGAAAAAATGTTTGTTGGTTTCAGGGGTGAGGTGAGGGGGGGTGTTTCGTTGGTATAAATGGTACCACAAACGCCAAGGGCATCTAGAAATTTTACTAAAAAAATAATTTTGTCAAATTTATATATGGGAAAGGGATGGATAAACAGAGAATTGGTTTTATGGAAAGCATATATGTTTGACGAAATTAATTCCATCCCATACAATTATGATTATAGTGGTCTAATTTAATATAATTGTATCGTTCTCTGTGGTCCACAGTCACAACAAATCACATCCAGACAATTATGAAGAAGAAAGATTTTCACACTTATTATGGCTTTGATATGGTTTCAGGGTACAGGGTACCTCACGGAATGCGGTAAACCCAGGAAAAAACAAACCCCTACAAATGATGTTCAACTTACACTGAAGCAAGAGGTGCAAACCACAACTGTTCATCACTGATGCATTCTACTCAAGCAGTCATTTTCTTTTAATCTTTCTTCAAATTTTTCTCGTGCTCCATGATAATTCTACCTAAAAGCCATGTCTATTTTTTGTGTTTAAATTATCTTGTGGCAGATTTTACAATTAGAGAAAAGACTACAAGATCAATTTGAGGTCAGATGCACGTTAGAAAAGGCACTTGGATACAGACCTACATCTCTTGTTACATCAAATGATATGATACTGCCCAAGGTTCGAACTTCTTCAAATTTTGAGTCAATAAATGTGCATTTTCTTCTGATGTCATAATTTTTTATACAGGTCTGGCACACTGAGAATTAATGGGTTGATTTTACAAGTGCTTCCTTAACCATTAAATGAACATTGATGTTGCAAACATACATGAGTTTTGCTTTACGCATGCTAGGCTGATTGTGGATATATTTGTGGATCAATTCTTCCATGTATTTGTCTGAAAATCATAAGATTATTTTGCTGCCATAAATTATTATACTTTGTTTAGGATTATAGGTCTTCTATATTTTGTTGTCATGTATTGTTTTGTGTTTGTCTGACGTATTTTTTATTTTTACATTTTCTTTTTTTAACTCCAGCCAACGTCCAAATTAATTAAAGAGATTGCGGTGTTAGAGTTAGAAGTTGTGTATTTGGAACAATATCTTCTCTCCTTGTATCGTAAAGCATTTGATGAACAACTACCCTCTGTAGCTCCATTCACGAAGGAGGAAAAAGTAAACTCTCCAACAACACCTAGAGCAAGATTTGTTGAGGTATCTAAGCCTGAGCTCTCAACCACAAGAGGAAGCTCTGCAATACAATCAATTGATCATGAGCTAGATACTACGCAAAAGGAATATACTGTACATGAACCTGAGAATTTAGGGAAAGAATACGATGTACATCAACCGGTAGTAAAGTACTTAGACTCAGGTGTATGTCGTTGTCACTCCTCATTATCCCAGTGTACAGCATTTACAGCAAGAGTATCTCCTCCTGCAGCAGAAGAATTAACTGAATCTCTGCGTGCTTGTCATTCCCAACCGCTGTCCATGATGGAGGTAAATCATGTTTCATGGAAAATAATTCTTTTTATCTGTCTGTGTATTTAGTATGGCTCCTAGCACATTGAGTTGCTGCAAACAGTTGTCTTGGTTACTTAGACACGTTTTTATCCTTATGGGGGAATACATGACAGTATTCATATTAGTTTGAGGTTCTGTTATGTACAGTTCTCGTTGTAAACATATAATTCTAATTTCAGAGAATCATCTTTTTGGACGCCTCCTATGGATTTTGACTCATTTAATCTCTGCAGTATGCCCAAAATGTTGATGCTTCATCAAGAATAATCAGTCTAGCAGAACATCTTGGCACTCGAATATCTGATCATATTCCAAATACACCTAATAGGCTTTCTGAGGATATGGTCAAATGCATATCAGCTATATATTGTAAACTCGCAGATCCATCTAAGACAAATCTTGGTCTTTCATCTCCCAGTTCATCCTTGTCTTCAACTAGTGCCTTTTCTATTGGAGATCAAGGAGACATGTGGAGTCCAGGATTCAGGAATAATTCCTCCTTTGATGTGCGGTTAGACAATCCTTTCCATGTGGAAGGACTCAAGGAGTTTAGTGGGCCATACAGCACCATGGTTGAGGTATCATGGATTTACCGAGAGAATCAGAAATTGGGCGATACTGAGCAGTTGCTCAAGAATTTCAGGTGAGTTTATTAATATCTGATCGAGGCCATGAAGCTTTTATGTTAGAAGTACATAATTAAGAAGGATTCTCCAGTTTCTTGGAGTTATAATGGCCGTCCACTTATATGTTGTTTCAGATCACTTATTTGTCAATTAGAAGATGTAGATCCTGGGAAGTTAAAACATGAGGAGAAATTAGCTTTCTGGATCAACATACACAATGCTTTGGTGATGCATGTAATTAATCACTATTATTCCCAAAACAATGTTTCACTCTAATAGTTTCACGTATGTCACTTATTGAGGTTGTAATATGTTCCTTGGTTTCTAATAGGCATTTTTGGCTTATGGAATTCCACAAAACAATGTGAAAAGAGTCCTCCTTCTGTTGAAGGTAAAAACTATCAGTGGTAACTTAACGATCCATTAAAGGATGAACTCTTTTAGCCACTTTGCTTTTGCTGATTTGCTCAATGTGTGGATGTCCTTTGCAGGCTGCATATAATGTTGGTGGTCATACAGTCAGTGCAGACACAATACAGAACACTATACTCGGTTGCCAGATGCCTCGCCCTGGACAGGTGGTTCATCAGCTCATGCAATTCCAACATTTCTCTTACAGAAAATTTAAAATATAAAAGAAATAAACATGGCATTTAGGATATCTTTGAAATCTCTCCTCAATATGCAAAGTATTTATTTTGTAAATCCTAGTGAGTGACTTACAAAGGAGCTTCTTCTTACTTGCATCTTCTTCTAGTGGTTCCGCTTGTTCTTTACTCCAAGGACAAAATTCAAATCTGGAGATGGACGACAAGCATTTAGAATTGAGCATCCTGAGCCTCTTCTACACTTTGCACTCTGTTCAGGAAACCATTCTGACCCAGCGGTACTTATTCCAATTCTTCTACGTGTGTGGTTTGATTAGACCTGTAACATCTCTATTTCTCAACAAAGCACTAATTAAATTGAGGAAACATAGCACACACAGATGATTTCAACTATTTATAAATTCATTTAAACTTGTGTAGTTATATAGAAAATTTGGTTTGGACTACAAGAATTAAATCCCCTGTAATGGTGGTTCTAATGCCTTCATATTTAATGTGGATTTTACTGTACAAGAGTTGCCTACATTATAAAAAGGTCCAATAATAGCTTGTTCTAGGAATGTTCTAAAAACAAAAGAAGTTCACAGGGGATAAACATGTTAATGTATATGGACAAAAAGATAACCATTCTTACATGCTTAACTTTAATGAGTAGCTTATGTGTTTAAAACTATGCAGGTACGTGTATATACACCCAAGAGAGTGCTTCAAGAACTAGAAGCTGCAAAGGAAGAATACATTCGAGCCACCTTTGGCGTACGGAAGGACCAGAAAATACTATTACCTAAGCTTGTGGAGTCATTTTCCAAAGGCTCGGGTTTAAGCCCTGCTGATAGCTTGGAGATGATTCAACATTCTCTACCTGAATCTCTAAGAAAGAGTGTTAAGAAATGTGACCTTGCAAAATCTAAGAAGTGCATAGAATGGATCCCACACAATTTCACTTTTCGATATCTCATACCCAAGGAGCAGGTAAAGTAATTGCTTCGTGGCCTAACTTCTTATGGGAGACAATCTACATCAAGCTTTGAAAAACAGTCCAAAACCACAATTGTAGTCGCATTTGTCTGCAATTTTTGAAAATATCAAGAATGACAATGAAACTACAACTACGACTTCCACTGCAATTTTAAACCTTGATATGCATTGTTTGCTCTATAATGTATTCTTTTGTACAAAGTTGACAGGGTAGCAGCAACAGCAAAATCTAATACGTCGTGTTGCATTTTGCGTCTGTATTGTGCTCTACTGTTTCATTGTATTATCTGTAATTGAGATAGCGGTTAGATTTCTGATATTAGCAGGGTAAATGATGTGTGGCTAGCTATAATCAATTTTCATATGGGTTTTATTTACTTTTTTGTCATTTATAACTAGCCTGCGATGCATACTTGTGATTTATGACTAAAAGTATAAAACTACATATGCATTGAGATTGCTACATACAATATTATAAAAATCACGTGACGTGACTGGTGTGTCCAATCATAAACAGACGATGGTTGCTTGATGTCATGTGACGGGTTCTTCACCTAACTCTCAATCTCAACTGAATTTCCTTCGCCGGATGGTTTAGTTTATGGAAGAATTATTCGACTCATGATTTTTGTTTGTCAAATAGTTATGCAGACAATATATAGAAATCGAAATCTTCAAAAAAGTTATAATTTCTTTAAAATTAAAATAACTCAAAATGTAATGGCATTAAGAGCAACTTGAAAATAAAAATAGAGATTTCAACCTAACAAGTTACTAGACTTTTTTTTTTTATTTTATGGAAATGTTTTTGTAACATCTAATTTTTCTAAATATCTCAAACAATCATGACTTTTTTTATTATTATTATTATTGATGGAGTGAGAATGAAATAAAATAGATAAATAATAATATAAAATTTAAAAGTGATTATTTGGGAAATGTTTAGGAAAGGTGGATTCTAAATATATATATATATATATATATATATATATATATATATATATATATATATATATATTAATAGACTCTGGGTCACATTTAACAAAACTTATGGACCGAATCACAAGTGTAGCAGTGAAAAATTAGTGAGGAGCAAACGGACACAAATGCAACGTACATACATATAATGGCGATTAGATATTTTGGATTCAGTTAGACAAAGTGTTCCGTGTTGAATGGGAAGATCCACAGCGTCCCGCATTTGCACGTGAATCCACACATAATTCAGCCATGCCATAAAGTTACCGACATTCATGCAGTTGACGAAAACCCCACAAGACACCATTCCAATGCCTTATTAACCCTCTCCACCAAACTTTTTATGACCTGTTTTGGCAGTTTAGGAAAACAACCACCACCTTTCACAAACATGATCGATCCTTAGATTTCACTCGCTGTGGCCCAGCTATCATTATTAAAATGTTTCAATATCAAGATACCACGCAGTGTTTATACGTGAACAAATTATTATATAATTTTTCCATGGAAACAAGATCTGCTAGCTAACCAAAATAAAATAACATATTAGCAAATTGGAAGGTTGCATGGAAGATCCAAATCAAGAACCACACCCATTAACCAAGGATTAATTAGCATCAAAATCCATGCAATGTGGTGTCCTTGCAGCTGATTCTACTTCACAAAGAACTCAACACATTAGACATAGCTGATATATCAGTTTCACTCGATTAATTAGCACAACTTCACAACATAAACAAGCATTATTAACATAGATAATATAAGAGGACGAATCAGTAAGGGCTTTCGCCAACGTAGTTCCCAGGGGGATTGTAGAAGCAAATGGTCAAGCTAGCATCCTCTTTCACGCACGTCGCTTGAGCGCACCCGAGCTCCAGCGACTTCCTCCACACCACCTGCGTGTACACGCCGCACTTGTGATTGGGCACACACGAGTTGTCGGTGTGGTTGTAGAACAGCTTCTGCTTCACCCACTCCTCCACCGCCATGCGCGCCGTCACCGCCGTGCCGTGCGCCCAAAGCTGGTTCGAGCCGTACTTTCCGGCGGTTAGGTTTGCGAACTGGCACCCCATCTTGTCCCTCTGGTACCGCACCAGCTTGCTCGTCACGTTCGCCACCTGCTCACTCCACCGCAGCGGCTCAACGCCCACTTCCGCCCTTGCCTCGTTGTGTGCCTCCAAAAACTCCCTCGCCGCTGGGGGGAGAGACGGTGCCACCGGCGGAGCCTCTCCCTTCGATGACACGTGGAACGTGGCGAGAGCTAGCAGCAGAAACAGTGCAGGATAAAGCATTTTGGTTGAGGTGCAGTGTGGCCTACTCGTGTTGTGTTTAATGTGTGGGTTACTGTGTCTACGTTATACACGTATATATATTACATCATACCAGCAGTTATTCCTTGTGCTAACCCTTTTTATTACTGCTTTATTTTTATTATGGATTACTCATCTTATAGGATACCAGTTCAGACTAATACACTAAACAATTAACATTAACTTTGTTGTAAATACGTTTAAGTTTTTCATTTGTATATTATGTTATTATCCATTTAACTTTTATGTTTACTTTTAAAAAATAATATTTATTTGTCTGCTCCAGAGTAGATGGATGCAGTAATGTACTGGGGTTGGGATCCGTAAAAGTCAGCGCATGGGCATGCGAGCTAACTCGTGAAAGACTGCACGTGTCATGCCTGTGGTCATCAACATCCCATTTCCACACCAAAACCCTATTTAATGACAGTTTTTTTTATCAATACAAATATTATAGTTCATTTTAATATCAATATCATCATAAATTAATAAAAAATTCTCTATTAAATTATCATTTTCATATTGATCAATTTAATGAATTACTTTCATCAAACTACTTTTATGAATGTTGTTAGCACACATAATAAAATCTCATTTCCCTTGTGTGTTGATGTCAAGTTTTTGTTGCATTAAGTAACAAAGGAAAAAAATAAAGTTCAAATTAGGGTTAATTATTTATCGTTGAAGATGGACAATAAAGGTTGAGACCCAAAATGGTGCTAATCAGCGCCAATGCAGAAATAGAAGAGAAACGGGGAGAGAAATGATTTTGAAGGGTTTTAGAGGGAGGTCAGAAAATTAAAATAAATGAGAGTGAAGTTATGAAACACGGTGTTGTGAATAACATATCCCTGATTTTAATGGGCCATTTCTCGAAGAACAAACGATGTAATGGGCCAGCTTCTACCAAACCACACTCCCCTTAAAAAACCCCAAAAAATGAACTTTTTTTTTTCTTGAATCATAAAAAAAAAGCCACAAACTTAATAGTGTCCAATAACTTTCTCTTCTTGCCTTAAAAAGAAGGTACATGTGGTGAATAAAAAGTATATTCAGAGACCAAATTAAGTTATAATTATAACTTTTCACGTTCAAGCATAAAACTCTTCAAAATGGTTCATATACTTGCTATACGAACATATCACATAAAGTAAAACACTCGGCATGCCATATAAAACGTTTTGTAAATTAATAAAAACAAGTTAACGATGAGACTAACCTAAAGGGTCAAAATGTAACTTCAAAAATAATTTTGATTTTATTTCGATCAATTCCTACAACGTCCGCAAATTCTGCAGGAACCTTCCCTAAACTGAAATGATGATTATCTTCAACTTGCATAACACTATTTCTCATCTACTATCTATTCACAATCAAATATTTGGTCTTTATGTTTTTCTAAGAAATTGCTATTTCGTAATAAGTGATTATCAGGTTATGTGAAAGTTAACCAAAGAATCGAATTTGTTTCTACTTTGTCACATGTTATTTCAAAATCATAGTGTGTGCGAGTGTGACTCTTGATCAAAAAGATCCTGGCACCGTCTTGACTCTTGAGTATATATTTTTTCTCACTAGATAGTAACGTCTACTACAGCCATTAACATCCAAATTAAATTTACTTGATCGTACTTCCTACTGTTTTTGAGAATAATTGATGATACATTTTATTATTATTATTATTATTTTGGACTACTCAATGATAGCTATGATGCAGTTATTGGTCTTAGGTTATGTTTATCTTTTTTACTATATGGAGATTCCAAGTGCTATCAAATCTCGTAATTAACAATTTGATAGCAGTTATAGTGTTTTTATGTCGCTTTTAATAAACAATGAAAACAACCAACAAAGTTAAAAAAGATAAGTTGAACAAAGAAATTTAAAAAGTATTGAACTTTACATTGAAGAATTTTCTTTGGCATAAACTATTCCTAGATCAGGAGACATATATGATTTATGTATAAACTAAAAGTGATGAGATTATTTTATAGTAACTGATATGATAGAGTTCACTGTTACATGGAATAAGTTTGATCTAAAGGCAATGGACTTATCTTGCCAGTAATGTGCGATTGGCAATGAGTTGAAACAAGCTTAAAGTATCGAAACATAGCTACTTTCAACAGATGAAAAATAGGGCGAAAGAAAATTTGCAAAAAGCTAAGAGGTAGCGATGAAAGACCTATGATGAGTCTAATAGGGGCGAATTCAGTGAAGATACGTACCTCTAAAAAAGAAGAACAAGTTAAACACATTGACTAGGTACACAGAAGATGATGATGAAGGCACAAACAACTTGCTCCACCTTCCTATGGATAAGGTGGCCAAGTGGTCCATAAATTAGTGAGTGAGCTCACACATTTCTACCACAAAAAAGTGAACTATTTTGGCAACCATGACAAGATTAATTAAGCACTACTTCTACCTTAAAATTATAGTGGTTAACAACTTATGAGGTAGCAATAGTCATACGATGTAGTCGATAGTCTTGACAAAATTTGGGTCATGTATATATATATGATACATAATTTGAATGTGTTAGGGTCATTATTTATTAAACCAAATAATAAAATGATCTGACTAAATGAAAAAGTTTGGTTAAAGGCATATGTTATGAAAATAAAATTGTGTAGAGATCATAGAACAATTTCTAATTTGATGGGGGGGTCAAATTAGAAATATTAAAACTTAAGCAATTCACCTAATTCTGGTTATTTTAAGGGGTCATGGTCCCCTTCTGGGAGCACGTGGACAGAACATAAGTTTCACTTCCATTCCTTTCTTTCTATCTCCATCAAGAGAAAAAATCAAGAGGGAAATAAAGGTACTCTTCACGTGGAAGACTATAAGATCAATAAAGTACTCTACAAAGACATCATTATCATGGCTAATTCAGGTACGCTTTCGCATTCAGTTTACAACATGTTTATCAGTATGGGATTACGTTTATGTTTGATTGTTAGACTCAAAATCAGGATTATTATTATTATTAATTTTTCAACAATTGGTATCAGAGCCGCCTATACTTGATTCATGTCTGTTTAATTTATAGAATCCTAATTATGAAAATTAGGGTCAATTTTGTTTTAAACAATTCAAATTATCTAACACTACAAGAAAAAACACATTTAGCCACCGAAATTAGCGACCAAATTTTTTTGGTCACAATTAGCGACCGATTTAATTTTGGTCGCAATTAGCGACCGATTTAGCGACCGATTTAATTCGATCGCAATTAGCAACCAATTTAGCGACCACTTTAATTCGGTCGCAATTAGCGACCGATTTAGCGACCAAGTTAATTCAGATCGCAATTTAGTGACCGATTTAGCCACCGAAATATGATTTGGTTTCACTTTTTTATTTAGCGATCGAAATAGCGACCAATAGTTTGCGTCGCAAAATTTCTGATCGCTAAATCTAGTGGCTATTCCATACTAAAATAAAAAAATCATTTAGCGATCGATTTAGCGACCGAATCACAAATTGAAATAGTGACCGAATTAAACTCGGTCGCTAATGAGAAAACAATGATCTAATTAAAATCGATCGCTAATAAATATTATTTTTTTATTATATTTAAATTAATTTTTTTATAAATATACTTTAATTGTTTTAGTATATTTTTTACAATTTATTTTTTAAAAATAATTTATTTTTTAAAAATAATTTATTTTTTAAAATATACTTTAAAAATAAACTTTGGTCTCAATATTAACAAAATGAAGATTAACTTTAATTTTAAATTACTAAAATAAAAATATTATTAAAAATAAATCAAATTTATTAAAAATTTAAATTGTAATAAATTAATACTAGAGTGATATTAACTATTCAATACATTGTTTAAGAAAAGTTTAATAACAAATATTCTTTAATTTATTTTTCAATTAAAAATTTCAATTGAAATTAAATTATATTTTAAAAATTTATATTAAAAAAATTAAACACATCAAATTATCACATTTTAATTCCTCATTAACTTAATTAATTAAAAAATTACAATTTTAATCAAATTATTACAATTTTATTTTATAATACTTTATTTTTAATCTAATTTTTAAATTTATTGCTTTATTATTATTAATTACTTAATCATGGTTGTTGTCATATAATTGATATACCGAAAAAAATTTATATCAATATACATTAGATAATAAATATATTATTTAATTAAACTATTTATAGAAATATATTTATCTTTAGTTAAAATATTTTTTAGTTTAAGTATACTAATTAATATTTTTCATTTTTAACATAATTAATAAAAAAGATTAAAAATTTAAAATTAATATATTTTATAAATACTAAAAATAAACCATATTTAAATAAATGAAAAATATATTTAAATTTATATTCAACATAGTTAAGGTTGTGCCTTTTTAAAATTTATATTCAACATATATTTAAATTTATATTAAAAATAGTTAATATAAATTAAGGTTGTGCCTTTTTTAAATTTTAACTTTTTCATATATTGGATTTTCATTAAAAAAATTCTAAAATTGCATAAGAAAATAGATATTTAATTATACTTTTAATAAATTTAAGATAATACTAGTTTTTATTTTTATTTTTAAATATTTATTTTAATTTTTTAAAAGAGAGAAACTATAATTTTAGTTTCTAAATACTAAATTTAAAGAATTAAATTTATTATTATTTAATATTTTAATTTTAGTATTAAAAATCTAAATTATATTTTATTAAATTTAAATAATTAAAATATATTTTTCTACTTTGAGAATTAAAAATATAATTAAACTAAAACTGAAAATATTATAATACATTTTTGAACTCTTTTTTATAATATATTTATCATTATTATATTTTTGGATTAATTATTTTTTTCTAATTTTTTATAAAGTCAATTTTAATATTTAAAAGTATTTAACATTTTGAATTCTGGAACTTTTTCTCTATTAACATATTTAAAAACATAATATACTAAAAAAATATTATACATAATTATTTCATCC